GATCTTGTTCTCATTCATCTTTCAAAAATTACTGCTTTGTCTAAATTCCCTACACTCCGTTTGTTCCTTGATCTTGTGTTCTACCATTTCTCAAATCGTACCTGTTGACATCAAGTTCTCCTTTAGTCATGCTGCACCTTTTCCCCATGAAACTTTCTGCAATGTCATCCCACAAGAGATCTGCTCATTCATAATTCATGTCTTCATTGTGCGCGAACCACCAACGTAATTCGATGCTCCTCGATTTTTGTCTGTTCTCTGCTCTCTACGTCCATCGCCTGACCAACTAGATTGGTCATCAGGATCAACTGCGTTATGTCGTTGACTGACTTTTAGGTATTCTTCAGGTTGATGCGATAGCCTGTGACTATTTTCTAAATTTCCATCTTACGCAGAGTTTTTGCGCAGTGACTGTTTGACAGATCAATCGGCGTGCCAACCCTTGTGAACTACTGCGGATGTCTCCTGAACCATCATCCAGGCCAACTGGTTCAGAGAAGTTGAGTACTTTGAGCGGTTTAGGTCACAATTACAACAGGCCGATCATTCGAGTCCTGAATAAGGTCGTGTTCCGCCTAAATTCATGGGCCGGCTATAGCGAGAAGGTAGCACGAAGTCGCTGGACGGTGTAACTAGATTGCTACAAGCCCGATGTACGCTCTTGAATAAGAAACGACATGGGTCGGACGTGACAATTCCAATGATATATTCGTCGTCAAATGGATAGCACTGATCAGAAACGATGACGAGAAGCAAAATGTGTCAATGTGTGCACGTTGATTGGCCCTAGCATCTGAAGGTAATCTTAAAAAAGGCCAGGACAGACGTTGTATACAGAGTGACTGATTGAGAAATTGATATTCACTGATATATAGTTTGTTGTGTACACTGTATTTCTGCGAACACATACTGCTTGTAATATGGTACGTCGTTTCTCAAATGGCAACTAATCTTCAGCATACAAAGGATTAACAGATCCCAGCAATATTCTGCTTCATGTATTTCATCGATTTACGTGAAACTGCAACTTGGTGGCACTAAAATACTACAACTCCAAACAAATAACAAAAAGCACCTTACTTTTACCAGCCAAACGCCACGGCTTCGATGTCTGCAATCCACTTTGTTTTCTGCAGACATTTCTCACGATGAAACTTTATTGAACAAGGATAGACCTAAACTGATGTAATATCAACCAATTAACATAACGGAAATTTCTCGATTTCTCGGTAACAAACAACAACGGTTGCTATGACTAAAATTTATCAGCCATTACACTTTAAAAGCATCAATGTCGAAACAAGAGGCGATTGACTGACTGAATGCATCATGAAGACTGAGGAGAGGGTGACCTGTATCACACCAGAATCGCGTTTAGCAAACAAGATCCCGCCTTGAATTAATCAGCAGCCTCTGATATTCTGATGATCTTGTTGAACGAGGGTGTCGGTAACAAAAAGACTTAAAATGTTCATCTGTTTGTGCTGAAATGCAGCTATTATCAGCAGGAAAACGTACAGCAAACTACTCAATTTACATATGCCGCGTTGAGCTTAACATCCACAACACAAATAAAGAGGCTTATATTAACCCTCACTTTCATTCGTTATCATTTACCTTAAATTGGGTAGTAACAGAGGGATTACATAATGTTTAAAATTTGCTTCACGATTTTTTAACAGAAAAAGAACGAACTAAGAGAAAAAATCATCTATCTTCCGGCTTATACTCATTGTGATTCTGAAATTATGAAGCATCAAATCGCCAGCTGTCACAAAGAAAATCTTAATTTTTACTCTGTAATTAGCAACCATGTGATCCTTGCAAATTTTTTCAAGGTTGTAATGCACTGTCATTCTGTACAGGACTTTCGTAATTTTAAATATGACCATAGCATAAAACATTAAACTCAAGTTTTCAAAAAATTCTGAATTATCTATTAGTCTGACTGAAAATTAGAATCATGTTATGAATAAGACAAGCATAAGACAACACAGGAATGAAATGCAAACAGAGACAATGACAAACAAGCAGATGCAGAGAAACGCGAAAATGAAATGTCTAACATTTAGCACGTCACATCTAGGTATAGAAGATGCTATCTGAACTGACAAACAATAGTGCCGAAGGTCGACCGCATGTCATCCTTCTTTAATGCCCTCCTTACCACCCTCCAAGTACTGTGAAAAAAGTTCGTCCCAACAGCAGTTACCGAAAGCGCATAATGGGTTGTCCTACTACACTAAGGGATGGGCAATCACCGCTGGTAATGAAAACAGGATGTATATTAGACCGATGAGACATGGGGCGAAATGTCGGGACTGATCAGTCATCCTTCTGATCATCAAATTGTTTGCATTGTGCATCAATAAGGCTGTTTCCACATAAGGACTTAAAAAAATAAAATAGGCAGCGCTTCTTCGTAGTTTAAAACAAAAGCGAAAGTATATGCCTCAACACCATGCCACTTTAAAACGAAGTGGTAATCACGGATTTGACGAGATCTCATATTTCACTAAAGCTACGGCATCTTGACTAAACCCAAGCCACAAAAAGCAGATACCTCTATGAAAGAAACGCAACTTTTTCAAAACCAGCCAGTTTGTAATACCGCTGAACTACCAGGTTGTACAAACATAATTTACCAAATTATTGGCCATTATTTTAACTTCGACATTCAGTTCTGCGTGACCGTTTCGATTTCTGATTTGCAGGTGTTTCGGGTAATTTTTGCATATGTTATGGGTTTCAACAAACTCATAGCTCCCAATATCCGGTTTAGGCCATACAGTATTTACAGCTTAGGCAGTATTCTAGTATAAGTAATATATAAGGTTTTGGCTTCAAACATTTTATAAATTTGACAACTAATTAGACAAATGTCTATATTTTAATTCTTTTGTTGTAGTGTATTAGGAGTACTGCGACATCAGAAGTTTTCAGCAGCCTGCATGTTTGCCAGGATGCTACCGATGATGGTGAACAAACAACAGCAGTATCAAGTACCAGCTCATAAAAGTTGTTCGTTATGAGCGCAAACAACGCGAGACTCATCTGGGACAACAGATTTTGTTTTACATCAATACAGATATAGTGTCTGTGAGCGCATGCTATAT